AGGAATTTCACTGGCAGATAGCTAATGTTATATTTTATTGCTTTAATTTTAGAAAAAGAATCAGGGTTCTGCTAAAAAAATGAACTCATGAAATTGTGAACAAAATCCGCGTACCTATTAGTGACACACCTGAGCAAAGCGAGGGTAAGTTTTAGTGTTGGACATGATATTATGTTAATGATTGAAATGTGGGGTGAGTGAGATGTATGCTACAGAAATAATCCTTCACTTTCGAGTTAAATATATTATTATTATTGTTGTTGTTATACGTACTTCAGTATTATATCGGAGTCAGCTGTCGTGTCACATAAAAGATCTTGCAGAATAGCAGTAATATAATTTTACCTTAATTGCTTTAAAACTAAAGCAATTAAAATGAAATTATGTGTAATTACTTATACCATTCAGATATTTAACCGGGCTCAGATTATTAAAAGTAAAAGTACTATTTATATTTATATCTCTTGTGCAATTTTAAAATAACTATCTAATTTTTTACCTTATATATACATATAATAAAATTCTGTTCGAGAAATCAGATAATCTACACATATAATAAAATTGTAACTAAGCCGAATCTGTACATTAAATATTTTTTGGAAAATATTATTGAAATAGACATTATTATCGATATAGAGGCCGAATCTATAGTTTTTAGAATTTTTGTCTGTCTGTCTGTCTGTTACTGCATCACGAAAAAAACACTGGAGGGATTTTGATGAAATTTGGTATGATGATAGCTGGTTATCCGGGTCAACATATAGGATACTTTTTACCGCGGGAAAATATGTCCTTTCTGAGACAAATATAAAAACTGCAATGTAATAGTATACTAATATGTAAAACCTAAGAATTTGGTTTTTGGTCATCTGAACGCGGGCGGCCGCAGCTCCGCCAATGCTAGTCTGTAATATTAAAATAATAATAATTATATTTTTTCCTACAAAACAGTAATTGATATCGTGTACGTGATTTTAGGTTAAATGGAAGTTTTGTTTTAATTTATTAGTATGACTAGCAAAATGAAGAAATAAAGATTAATTTATTTACACTGTACACTGTCTTTACAATATAATGTACCACAATTTTCTTTTGTGTCTTAACAGTTACAGGTTTATTCGTGTTTACATTATGTATGTGCTTATAAAGGTCCCGATTTTTCTTTTTATATTTACAATGCTAAAAGCAGTGATTTTTTAATAATAAAGAATCATAAAGTATAACTACGTCCAAGAAGTATTATAGAAATCAATTACGCAAGTTATGGGACTCTACTTTGAGATATTAGGTAGAGCTTTCATAATTGAGTTCATTAGCACCATTTCTACGTTTATTGCATTTCATATTTTACTGAATGTTAAATTTATAATACTAGCGGTTGACCCTCGCTTTGCTCGAGTTCGACTCTAGCTTGCTTCCCCATACAAACTTTCATCCCCATTCTCACCCCCTTAGGGGTGAATTCCGGGATAAAAACTATTTCACTTACTCACTTTTCTTATCATGAGATTTTAAAAAAATGTTATTTTAGGAAAAAGTTGTTTTTCTTTTAATTTTCTTCTAAACAAAACATCCTGATAATAACAAACAAAAAAATAACTATCCAATTTGGTGCAGTCGATCGGAAGCTATGCGTGTACATACATATCGGTGATTCATTTTTTTTTATATAGATTAGTGATATAATTGTATTTTTGATCATTTCTTTAAATTCAGTTCTAAAATATTTAAGTTTTAGTGTCTTCTACGGCTTTAAGTTTAAACTTGTTTAAATTATTATTTTTATCGCAAGAGATAAAATAAATGCGAGTTATTCTAATTAAGAATTCATATATGTTTAAAACTATTTAGAATTTCTTCTATTCATTAACTATCCGTATACTTTATTATTATAGATAAATTCGGGTAAATATTTATTCCCTGGAAGTGGGTGATAAGTACGAGTATATTGGTTAAAGTTTTTCAGTATAAATGTCAATGATATTAACAGATATTAAAACGATAAACGCTGTACACAAGAGATATGTATATAATTAATCATTGAACAATTTGACGCACTGTCGAAACTTTGACATGGGTCCTCGGATCTTTGGGCGAGGCTGGACAGATGCTTGTCACATATTTCATCCATGCTTACGGTAAGTGACAGGTAGAATTACTATGTAAATTTTCCTTAACAACTAGGTAAGTAAGTTAAATATATTAGTTAATCACACTATTATAAATGTGAAAGTTTATATGTGCATGTACGTAGGTTACTTTTATATGGATCGATAGATGGACTTCGATGAAAGGGAATAGTCAAGGGAATTTAGTCTATAGATAAGATTATTATTTATGAATTGGAGAAACACATAGGCTTCTGTTAGTAATAAAATTTGTCTATAGTTCTCCACGTGCATGTATTAACTATGTATATTTTTGCCTCTATATAATATTATAAAAGGCCTAGGGGCTACGTATGGGTGCATCAGAGCGAAACAAACGTAAGTAGCTCGTTAAAGATATTGGTAAAGAAAATAATATATTATCTACTTATATACTAGCAACCTCGCGTCGTTCAGGCCCTCGTTACACGTTCACTCCCTGCTCGAGGTAACCCTTTTGAGTAACTTGAAGTATAACAGTATTCAAGAGGAAACACTAGATGATGACACTAGTATCATTATTGTCTAGACACTACATGTGATAAAAAGTAAAAAATAAGGAATTTATAGCTTCAAACTGATGCTGTAGTGAAAGAATTGTATGGAGAATTTTTAAATAAAGAATATTTGTTACGTAGCTTTCTTTACTTTTGACTTTATTAAAAACTAGCGGCTCACCCTCGATTCACTCGGGTTCATCTCTAGACAAACAAAAACAAATCTATCTATCTCAAGGGAACCGTACATTTTCCGGGATAAAAAGTAGCCTATTTGTTATTGCTGATCGGGGATATAAGGTACTACCATGCAAAATTTCATTTAAATCGGTCGAACAGTTTCGGAAATTAGCCCGTACAAACAGACAACGACACAAAAAATTTGAAAAAAAACTGGAATTGTTCTATTTCTCTTCTTACATCCCCCTGACTCAATTTTTAGCCATTTTTTTCTATGAACAGACATTCGACCTCTACAGTTTTTTTTATGTTAAAAATAATATATATTTTTTCCGTTTAATTTGTAAAGGTGTTTTATCCACTAAATTTTCTTTATTAAAACTTTAGCGAACTTTTTAACTGTTGAGTGCAGTGTCTAATATCCCAGAGTTAACGAGGGATAATCCCGTGCCAAAGGAATATTTGTGTTGTTACTATAGGCCTGTTGGGTTACCCGGGGGAGAAGCCAACTCCTACCGGGCGTGTCCCCAGGTGGCGGATAGGGGCATGCCACCCGCTTAGAGGGGCGGGTGGTACCGGAGAAATCCGGCGCGGACCAAATGGCTTGGATGGGGCCGCTCGTCTAGGCCTCGAGCCGAAGACGTTGCGGCCACCGGTGGTGGGACCGCTTGGTCCCACAACCGGATGATGGGTGCCGGTTGCGAGACTGTGGGCGCAGGCCCGCATTCGGCGGAGGGGTAGGCCGCGGCGGGAGAGGAGTGCCGGTATTTCGGTGCGCCGTTCTCCCTACCTTCCGCGGCCTAGACGGGGCCGCCACCGTTTGATGGCGGACGCGGTGGGGCTGCAGGGGAAGAGGAGTGTCGGTGTTTCGTTGCCGCTCTCCCTGTCCTCTGCAGCCGATTGGAGGTGGCCCACTTCGGTGGGCGATGTTTTGGTTTTATGGGGCTGCTCCGGGTACCTCTATGACGTAGCAGAGTTGACTGTGGAGCAGCCCCATTGGTTTGGTGGTCTGCCTATTTAGGCAGACCTGCCGCCGGGGCGCCGTAGTAGTTATGCGCAAGTGATCCTGCGGCGTCCCACTAAGGCGGGGGGAAGGGATGTCGGGTTTTAGTGGGTAGTACCGGCTCTTCTAGCCGGTGAGCCCCGCATCACCACCTGGGGGATCAGGTGGTATGCGTAAATGCATTTCCCGACGGTAAAAAAAAAGGCCTGTTGGGTTAGTTCAAACAAAACGCGACTTTGGACCCCGTCACTCTCACTCACTTGTTCTAATATAGGCTGAAAATGGAAACCGGATATGAATATCACTTTGTTATTTACGCATGTTGTATGTTTATGTTGTAATCTCCAAATGAAGTATCCAGAAGCTTATGGGGTTAAAGTATTTATAGGACACTAGCGGACCCGACAGACGTTGTCCTGTCTACACGTCTTTAATTTGAAAATTTCAAACTTTTTTTAATAATTTTTTTGATGAAAATTATTATTCAAATTGTGAATCTAAACCATTCCCAGATCCCCTTGAACACACACAAAAAATTTCATCAAAATCGATCCAGTCGTTTGAGAGAAGTTCAGTGACATACACACTCACAGAAGAATTATATATATAAAGATATGTATATACATTTTTATTACTTATCGTCTTTCGCCGCTATCAATTTGTATTTGTTCGGGCTAAACTCAGAAACTGCTGTACGGATCTTCATTTGGTTTTCACCCATAGGGAGTAGAATTCTATAGAAAGGGATATAGGATATAAGCTATCGGAAATTAAGCTATCGGTATAATAATATTAAATTGCAGTCAGTATTATGTTAGTTTCAGGTTTAAGTGCTATATGTTTTAAAGTCCATGGGACGACAATTTGCAGGACCAAAACCACGGCTTAATGTGTTCTCCAAAGGGTTTGAAATGTACCACCGCAAACTTCGCAATTCCGAGCTGTTACTGAGTGTTCCTTGATAGAAAAACCCAGCAAGTGTACTTGCAGTAATCTGGGACTAGGATTCAGGTCCTCCGAATTTGCAGGTGTATTCTAGCCACTAGACCGAATGGGCTGTCTTAAAAATACATATTAAGTGATAACTGTTTAAGTTTATTAGTTTTCAAATAGTTTATGTTATTCACAGACAATAAAATATTTTAAATATATAATATTGAATATCTGATACTATTCTAATTTAACACAACTAACTTCCTTGTATAATAATAAATGGTTGGTTTCTGGCCCATGATATTCTGGAAAATTTTGAATTTTATCGATTTTAAAATAATTTATAATCTTCGATATGCTATTTTTTAAACGTACAGTAAATTTTTTACCATTATTATTACGGTCTAAATTTATTCTGGGCCAATCTTTAAGAATGTTGAACACGTCGCGATGATTTTGACAAATTCTTTGTTTCATAGATTCAGTACATGCATCTTTCTTAGGCGTCGGTTCATATGTGTTTGTACTCCGACTTAAGCGAGTCACATGTGTACTTGTGGTTTTACTAACGTGTATAGACCAGGATTTGTGACTTTGTACTGAAGCTTCATGACATTTACAAATTGGTTGCCCTACTTGAACGTATTTGGATGAAAATTGCTTATTTTTATCATTCCTGGCGCATGATGTTTGAGGAACACAGCCTGAAAGAAATGTTACTCTATGATTCACCTCTTTACTCTCTGCAACTTTAGGTAATTCCTTATTTCCTTGCGATTCATCAGTTGGATTGGGTTTTGCATTATTGCTTACAAAACTTTGGCGAACAATGTTTATCAAATCACTTGAAGGATCATTCACAAGTTGAGCAACACCCCATAGATATTGGGCCATATAAAGTTTAATTTTTGAAATACCTTATGTCCTGTATGATGACAAATAATGTTTAAAGATATTTAATAAATATCAATGTCTATTTCTTGACATCAAGCTAAAAAGGTGCAATATATTGCATTGCACATAATACTTCGACAGTCACGAAGCGTTATAACTTCATAATATGCACAAAGCTTACAATTTAAATACATAGTAAGATTAAACTTTGGTGCTATTGTATTTTTAGAACATAACAATTTCGAAATTGCGTTCTAAGGTAGTTAATGGACGCTTTTTTAATAATAAAAATCAATTAAAGATGTATTATTAAATTATAATAAATTTCGATACTAAGTTCTCCCGTGGCCATGATTGCTGTAAAGCATTCCAAACGCAGGGAACCAAAAATCAAAACAAATCCGCGAAAAAATCCGTAGAGATAGTTTTATTTACTAAGTTTAATGTTAAGTTTTATTACATTAAAAACTAATGTATCTTATATCTTATCCTACACCTATATGACTTTTACCACTCATTCGATTCCGATGATATTTTTTGGTAAATTGTAGTGTTTCGTAGTCGTTTCTAAACAAAAAAATAGCTACTTTGCAAACTCAAGAATTCTGAATGACATAAAATACAAAGACTTAAAAATCAGTGACCTTAAAAAAGTTTTTCATGGTAAACAACAAGATAATAAAATATTTATATAATATTTATATTATTCTCAGCTCAAATATAATGTAAAGGTAATTATTACAGAAATATCCTATTTTGCGCGACATTGATTATAATATTATCAGCAACGTATAGTGACTATACAAATATTTTTTAAATTAAATATATTAATGAAAATAAATTAATTCTTCAAAAGAATTGAATTTAAAAACGGATTCAAAAACGCAGAAATAACTTAAAATTACTTAAGTTTTAATTAGAAAGTCACATGTATTATTGGAAATAATTGAGAATGCAAAATTCATCACAAATAAACAGAAAAGTTGTGGAATAGAATAAGTGAACCAATTACTCCATAAAACAGCGCCAAATAAAATCTATTAAGTATTCTTCTATAAGTTTATATTATATTATTATAGTTATACTATTGATTATAATAATATTAATTAATTAGGCATGCGCGCGCACAAACACGCACGCACAGATAATTGCTTTTTGTCTCAGGAATAGTCCACATCATCACAAAGTCTATTACTGTTCAAAATATTCAAAGTCATAATTTACAGTGATTTATATGCCAAAAGATATTACACTAACACACATGCACGTACACTATAAGTAATATCCAGTAAAATAACGCAACATGATATTTCAAATCTCATTATACATATTTCAGTCCTTATGAGATAGAAATAGGCGAGAGTCAAAGAGACGCATGTTATCACTGAATTTTACTATAAAATATGATTAAGTCTGCTCTTTCAAGCGAGGAAAGGCGATGATGGTACGAATAAAGCCTGTGTAAATATAATAAAAATCATAGCCGAAATGTCGCTCAGTCTCGTCCATGATAAATTGCAGCACTCCAATTAGTTTCCCTTTTCAACAATAATTATAAGTGAAAATACGCAGAAAGAGCAACAAAAATTATTGCTTTATCACTGACAACCTACACATAAAATATTGTTCGAAATATTTATTTCTTTGATTGGTAATTTATAATAATCTACCTTTGCTTTATTTTTGTCGTTTTATCTAATATATTTAAACGAGCAATTCTTGTATATTTATTTATACCGGCGATCTCGGAAACGGCTCTAACGATTTCGCTGAAATTTGGTATGTGGGAGTTTTCGGGGGCGAAAAATCGATTTAGATTAGTCTTATGTCTGGGAAAACGCTTGTTTTTCAGTGTCATGCGGTTTTCTTTCGTATTATTTTACGCAAAATATGGTCACTAATTTCGCACGCTCGGGCGTGAGAATCGTGGTCAAGTGGCCAAGGTACAAGATTGACAATCACAGGTGTCCGGGTTCAAATCTCGGTCGGATTTTTGCTTGTATTTATTCAAGTCTTAAAAAAAAAGAAAATTGTACTTTTGTCAAAAATCCGAGCGAAGTTAATCGCCCAGGTTCTTGGTACTTAATTGAAGTTTATGCTTTAGAACACCATCATAGTTTGTCATAACCGAGTTGAAAATTATCTCTTGCAAAAACTTATTTAAATTCCGAAAAAAGTCGAAATCGTAGCAAGTTCTGTGGAAATTCCAATAGACGCTTCTACAATTTTTAAATAGTCCTAGTGAGATAAGTTAATTATGAAATTAATTTAAATTAGAAATTCCAAGTGCAGGATTGCTAGAAACACTCTATCAATTATTATAATATTACTCTAAGGTCCCATTATGTTAATACTTACATAAATATTGTTCTGCAGTGGTCCGGAAAGTGGAACCCTCGGTGCACGAATGTGATTGGCCATAGTAGTTTTTTAGGGTTCCATACCTCAAAAGGAAAAAAGAAAGCCTTACAAGCTTTCTTCGTTGTCTGTGTATTTCTCTCTGTCGAGACTCTTTTTCTCAGACACTCGTGGATGTGTTAAGTTGAAATTTATTAATTTGATATTGCAAATACTTAGGTCTGCCATCTCTTGGAGTGGCGAAAAAATCAAATTTCTATGTTAATGCAATCAAAAGAAACGACCGTTTATATGGAATATATTGACCAGAGCAAGGGAATCAAAATCTATAGGGTTTTTCTTGATGACCTAGAATCATGTTTGGCAAGAAGCAATGTCTATAATACAAGTAAAGCGAAAACTGTAAATTTAAAGTTACATCACAAAAAAAACTTTTGAGATTATAAATTTATTTGTATTTATTTTGTATTGTGACACTAACACTTGTCCGCCGATTTATTTTGTTGTACATACATAAGTACATGTCCACGTAGTCAAATCTAGGTAAATTCCTAAAAACATCAAATTCAATATATTACGTTTTTATTTACTAAACAACGAACGGACGGAATGAACTCATAATTGTATTCTTTATTATTTTATTTAAGTTTCTAGTTTAACTGCATATTATGTAACATCTATAACAAATTCTGTAAACTTTAAATGAAATCTGCAACGACAAGTAATATATTTTATGAACACCCATTTCTTTGAAGCATTTTCCATATTTTCAAAAAATGTAACTTATTTTTTATAGTTTTAAATATAAAAATGGTATGCTGACAAAAGAAAATATCGCGAAATAATAGTCCTTTGTATAGCAAGCTAACACTAAGTTAGGGGTTCGGTATCACAAGTTAGTTAAACTTTTAATGGTGATATTAATTATATTTGTCGGTTTACATTTCAGTATTAGGATGCTTTGAAAACAACTACGTTTATAAAGAGAACATATTTCACAAACTACATAAAACAAATGTACACGATAATTTCGTTAGTAGGTATGTAGATATGAGATGATATGAATATTTGTATTTAAAGAATAGTTATAAAATTAAAAATTTGTTGGTTTTAGATATATTTAAATACTAGGGACTCACGCTCGCTTCGCTCGGACTCGTCCCTACCTTGCTTCCCCAATCAAATTTTCACTCCTATTTTCACCCTCTTAAGGAATGATTTCCGGGATAAAAACTATCCCATATCCTTCCCAGTGTTTCAAACTATCTTCTTACCAAATTTCATCTAAATCGTTTCCGTAGTTTCAGAGCCTATTCAATACAAACAAACAAACAAAAAAACGTTTTCCTCTTTATAATATTAGAATAGATTAATAGTCGGTGTGCTTTGCTTTGTATGGGCTGGCACCGATTTCGAAAATATTTGATTAGGTATGTATTTAATAGGTAGGCTTTAATTACTTAGCCAAAGCACACCGACTTCGAAAATATTTGATTAGGTATGTATAGTAAATGAAAACTACCAATCAGTTATTTATTACTTTTTACTGCTTTTGTTTGAAGTCGGTTTTTATTTTTTTGATAAAAAGTTTTTATTTTTCCCTTTTTAGTGTAGAGAGTAGTAGAAAAGTAAGGATTCTAACGTGTTAGGCTTGTCAAATCAAACAAAATAAGCCCAAACTCAAAGAATCTACTATTAGCCGTTGAAGATTTCCACCATCCACCTTCTGGCCTTGCCATCAGATCAGGTCAACAACACCGAACTACTGTACTATCAACGGAAATAGAAATACTTGCAAAGTTTCAAGTCAATATGACAATTAGAAGTAGGTTAAATTCATCATTCGTTGTTTTTCCACCCTTATGGGTGGTATTTTTTTTTAAATTTAAATGGGACCAATCTGGAAGTATACCCTTTCAAACGACACAAAAATTGTCCAAATCGGTTAATAAATGACGGAGTTCTAAGGTAACAAACATATAAAAAAAAAAAAACATACAGTCGAATTGAGAACCTCCTCCTTTTTGAAGTCGGTTGAAAAAACGTTTTCCTCTTTATAATATTAGAATAGATTAATAGAGTAGAATACTCTTAAATTAGTTAAAATATGTTTAATAATACTTAATTGCTTTATCCATAATCCAATTCTACTTTGATTTCATAATTATAAATCGATACTTTATTTTGTTAGGTAATACTACTTACTTTACGTAATAGTTGTTTTTTTTATATGTCAGGACATTAACACACAACGCCATCTAGTTGCATGGTAAGCTACGAGGCTTGTGTTATGAATACCAGATAGTTGATATATTATACATATATGACTTTAAATACATACATATTATAAATAAAAACATCCATGACTGGAGCACATTCGTGCTCATCACACAAATGAATGCCCCCAGCGGGACTCGAACCCGCGACCGCCGGCACAGCAAGTAGGGTCATTACAAACTGAGCCAAACGTGTCGTCATCAGTTGTTATCAAGGAGAGAATTAAAGAAAGGTCGCAAACGTAATTCTAAGATGTTAAATTCATTCATCTTGATAAAGTAAGGTAGGTTCTAATTTAGAAGCTATTTGAAATAAACTAAATACATTTTTCTTAATTCATTAGTATCTTGATATTACGATACATT